AGAAGCTTTGGTTATGAGTGGAGTCAAACAAGCTGTGCAGAAATTGGCCCGCAAGGAGCATATATCCACTTTCTTAATCAGAGGCTTAATTGGTCATAGGTGCCACTGATAAGTGTGTGTGGCTAGATGACTCTTTCCTTGGTGTACTGGAAAAGTTGTACACCTTTATGTACTTCATACGCCACATAACTTTTTTGTGAAAAGCAGCCAAAATTGAATCCTGGGAAACGGCCATGAGTGATTCCATAAATATGGGACCCAACTTGTGACATTTTTGGTGTCCCCCTTATGCATGAAACCAATCAGTTTGTTGGTACCTTATGTGCTGTACGCGTTTATGTTTCTTTTGCCTTCCATACTTAGCAAATTGTGCATGCGCAAAATCTTCCAGTTCACTCCTTCTGCCTGATGGTTATGCTACCGGATGAGGGCTTTCACTTTGCTCGAGGCTGGTATACCTTATACTATAACGACTAAATGAAACATGAAGCATCACACAAGCTTGTAATTTTTACCACTTTCCTTTATCCAAGTGTCTTTTTGTTGTAATGTCAACCGATTTTCAAAATTTGTTTCATGTGTATGGTGGACACCAAAAATGTCACAAGTTGGCTCCCATATTTATGGAATGGCCTCCATACAAGTTCAAGATGCTAGGTGATACCAGGTGGGTGAGCCCATACACATCACGCAAGGTTGTTCAGGATACACTCCTATCAGTCATATCAACCCTCAAGACCATCTCAACAACTCACTTTTGTAAGAAGTGCAATGACATCAAAGAAATTCTCATGAACATTGACTTTGAATTTTTGGTATGTCTTGTGGTGTTCAGATATGCTACAGTTGTCAACACTAAATCTCTCTACTGCTGTTGACATGGTACAAACAGTACAAGAAGACATGGCAGAAGAGAGACATGAAGCTTACAGGCACAAAATACGGGAAAACATCGAGAAGAATGGGTGCCACTTTGGGATTACAACAGTGCAAACACTAGAACAAAATTTGACAGACAACAGCATGAAGTTTTCTGGTACAAAATATAGGAAAACGTGGAGAAGGTTGGATATGATGATGGGACTATAATGGAAACTCTGAAGCCAAAATGCCGGCAAACTGAACTGCCATCCCGTCTAGTAGAAATTGTTGTCACGAAAAAACAGAACAGCACGACTAATCAAGCAGTGGACACAATTACATGCATTTGGGTTATTCTGCAAGTGTATCAAAGAAACCTGGCTTGAGCACCCTACCTAGACCCCCACCAACAGGTCTGTCCTCATGAGAGATGTGTGGAGCAGCAATGATGATAAAAGGCTGGTATGAGCAGTTGTATGGCATAGCTGGATGGCCCAGTGTAGCCTTTACTGTGTCATCAAGCTAAAAGCAAATGGCAGCGTATGTCGACCTTCATGGATGCATGGTGGAGGACTCCAAGCCGAAGATGTAACAGCGGCGGGGGTGAAGAGTGTCCAAGGTGGGCTTTTCAAGATCTGAGACAGGTACTACCATGGGGACCTTAAGAAATTGTGCCTGTTGGCAGCCTGCTGACATCTGACAGGCCTATTTTTATGAACGAGTACAAGAACACAAACCAACAGTCCTTTTAAGCTTCAGTTTTACCCTTTTCCTACCTCCAGCTGCCATGATGTTTAACACTAGGCCTAAACGTTAGAGCTCTTCAATTTGGAATAAAACCATCTTAGATTGCTCTTATGAAGAGTCTCCATAATTCATGCAATCCCAGCAAGATCATGATATCAGCAGAAACATTTGGTACTGCTTTGTTTATGGAGAGATTAGTATTTACAGTTTATGGAGGCCAATTATGCAAGAGCCATTACTATTATGTGTAAATATGAAAAAATTGTCTAAATAACGAAGTACTGTAATATTCAGATGAACATAACAGTTTGCTTTTAGGTCATACCACAAATGAAGACATCACAAGAAGCTTACATCTACCAAGCTAGATCTGTAAAGCTGAAGGTACATTACGCATAGGGTTAGGTATACCAGGTATTTCCTGAGCAAAGAGGCTGCTGTTAATGGGGTCTGCACATCTGAGACACCAGATAAAGTGAGCCCGCCCTTTAACATCAATCTAGGAGGAAACCAGTTTTGCCTCGAGCAGAGGGGGCAACCGATGAATCTCCTTCAGAGAGATCAAGATGTCTTCTGCCGCAGTGAGGATGACTTGGGCTACACAGACACTGTAAAACACAAGATACTGACCACTGACTGACAGCTAGGGTCAGGGTGTGTCCCGCATCAAAGAATACATGTACCTCCCCACCACATGATGGAGGTGAGAGTACACCTTTAGAAACTTCTACAGCAGCAGATTATCAGGCCCTCCACCAGTCCCTATGCTGACCCGGTAGTCATCCTGCGGAAGGACGATGGAAGTCTTTGTCAGTGTGTTGACTACCGGATGCTCAACGAGAAGACTCGAGGGCATCTGCAAGGACATAAGTAAAAGGTAAACAAGAGGTTTTGGAAGAGGCACAAACGGCAGCAAAATGAGAAGGCTTGTGGCAACAACATTTATGGTTATGTGGATTGCAGCATAGCAGGCTGTGGTCTGCCACGGTTGTGTTGTCCCTCGCAAGGTTGGCTTGGAATACCTTGAGATGCTTCTGTGTGTCACCGCGGGCACCCTGGTGCTCAGCGCTGTTGGGATCCAAAGGGGATCCCTCTTGAGAGTCGGTGCACAGGTTGAAGATGAGGGGAGGGTTGTGTCACTGGACTGGGCCCATGACAACTCCACACTGCTCTGCTCCACCTTATTCAGAAAAGAATATTGTGACCTGAATATCCCAATAATTTACTATTTACTCAACAAAGTGTTGGTAAGTTAAACTTCAAAAACATGTTCAGTCATATCCCCATATGATTATACAGTTGCATCTGTAGCCTAGTATTCATTGTCATAAACATCTTTCACACAAATAATCCCCATGTTACAAAAACAAAGAGCAACTTACAGTGCATTGCTAAGCACTTGTTTTCAATGTCATATTCAACATCTTGCATATCCTGTGTAGTTAATCCATCATTCATCATTGTTCTTTTGGTAGTGGGGAATTGCTTCCAGAGACTAACAATGAGAACTTGGGTTTTGTTTAGGGCAAACCACATACATTTACAACATACCTGTGGAAAAAATAGCCTTATGCACACTACATCGCACAACATTGATATCTCCAACTACACGCCCACTCACATCAACTTGGATGGAAAAGTGTCTTGGAGTAAAGGGATCATGTATATGAAAGTTAGAACTCCACACTGAAAAAGGAGAATATCAATTGACAGGAAAGGATATTGGTCAAAACTATTAAATGTTGCTTCAATGTATATATCAGTGCACCTAGACTTTTGTTGATAAATATGTCCAAATCTCGAATGCTGATAAAATATTTGGGCTGGGAGTATGAATGGCATGTGTGCTTGAGCATGCCTTTGCAAGACCCTGTAAAATTGTTTTAAAAATATACTAAGATTACAGCAGGATTAATATTCAAGGATTATGCTAGAGCTATGTAGAGATACCAATGACTCGTAGAACAATGAAGCAGGGTTGTACTAACCAAACTATCCACTCATGTTGTGAAACGTCGAATGGTGTTAAACAGTATGAGCCTGTAGTATGCACTTGTGGGGTTACAGATCACACTCAGATGTTGGGAAGCAATGTTACCAAACAACTGGGGATAGAGATTTAGTAGACCATGAAGTAAACTACTAATAATGGAAACTGGCAAGCTTCTATATTATCTACAGATGAACCTTACTCTGTTGTACAGCGCTCACAAAGGTCAGTTTCACAGAATAAATGCATGTGCAGTACTGTTGTTACAAACTCACATGTAGAATGTACATGGTGCTGTTCCAGTTTGTCAAATACATTGACAACTGCAGAATACAAAGGAGTTTATTCAAATCATTTATGTTAATTGAGTGCAATAGTAAGAATAACTTAAATAAGGTGCAAATTTAATATTCTTTTCCATGAGGTGAAAAATGGAAGATTCAATCTAAATACAGTTATTCCTTCCAGTGCCCAGATGTGTAAACAACGCCTGAATAAATCCTCCTTTGCATACAAGACACCCCTTTATGTCAGTTTGGCGTCAAAGCATGACATGAAGTTGTCACTAGCTGACTAAAATTTGTCTTAAGAGCTGCAATGGCAACCTCCCAACACATGCATCGTACAGTGTTCTTTGCCTATCTGAAGAAATGTGAATGTGCGTACCGCACAGGCGTGTAGTCCAATGGTATGTTTAACCAGTTCATGCTGGCCGGGGTGCCCGATTTCGGGCACATGGGCTTTACAGATGAAGCCGGGGAGACCCAAACCGGACAAAAGAGCTGGGCCTTGTAACAAACGACCGTACTTGGAACGAAAGACCAAGCTGCCGGGAATTGCTAACATTTTTTCACTCATCAATAGCGTAGTAAATCTGTCATTGTTTTGAAAGATTATACCACTGTTTGAGGCATTCAGCAGGAGTAGATTACTACCAGGGACAAAACAGCTCCAATGCTACAGCAATGAGCGATAAAATACCGCTGCACGCTAATCTGACCCCTATTGAAAAGATGCCTGGCTGAAATACTCGGGCATCAATAGATGTTGTCTGTTAGACTAGCGTAGCCACCAGACAGTCATTTGTGTGGGTGTAAACGTCCAGTACTTGTGATTTTCCAAAGATTTTTGAAAACGGAAATCCCCCGATTTTACGTCATGCAACTTTAAATTAAACCTGGCAGCAAGCGGTTAACAGATTGTATTCAACACTGTGTGTAAACTGAATAAGTCACTGACATATGATTGATGACCCAATCAGATGACAGGGATTTATACAGGTACTGCATCCACACATTCGATTACATTCGTTTTTCTGATGCTTCTCTTCTTCCACAATTGAATTGAATTAACATTAAAAAGAGATAAAATGACCATCATGTGGCATTCTTGAGCTCCTAACCTTTTTTGAATGAAGTCCCTGGCTTACAAGCTCAAAACAATGTTGCCCTAGAGTCACAAGATTGGCTGGTTGTTCAATGATGATGGTATTTGCATACAGTGGCACCGCTACTTTGCTGGAACATGCTGTAAAGGGATTAACAGGTGTGAAAAACATATGTGATTGCCAAAACTCCAAGCATTTAAAGAAATTAGTGCACCAGATATTTAACTAACAAAGGGTGCTAGTTAAAAGGAAATGGTACACTAGAGGAGATAAATGGAAACTGCACTGACAAACCAACCAACAAAGATGATGGTAATGAAAGTCACTCCAGCAAACACACTGTGGCAAGCATTCGGGTTCCTTCTTATTTTACATCATCCTATTAGAAAAATGTTGCTGACCAAGCTGAATGGAGACAGCTCCAAGCAAACAGTTAAATATCTCTAGTCAAATATGGAAGATAGGACCAGGGGTCAACTCATAAGGATGGTATTCAATTAAGTGTCTGCCCCAAACAGAAGTGCCCCCTCACCCAAAAAGTAGAGACAGGCTGATGGGAAGTTTTTCAACCAGGCTGGTACCAGTACATGACCAAACATTCCAACAAAAATTGTCATGGTCACCAATGCTCAGCTCTTTGCTATGTAAAAACATGTCCTCTCTTGTTCCTACTTGGAAGGGATAGAAATTCTCAGGCATAAGAATATTTGCTAATTAGCATGCACAGGATATCAGCCAAAATGCTGTGTTACGTACACAGAGTGTGGCCAGATCTCAGTCGATATATTTGGTTTTGCACTAATACGTGTACCTGCTCAGCAGCTCAGTGAGATAGGGTCAAGGAATGGCAGTTGGTTCAGTATATTACCTTGCCACTGTGGCTGTCAATGCTACACGGTGGGCAGGCTGTATCCAATATGTCCACACGTCTGATGTTGTTGCTGTCCATCAGATCACAGCAGTAATCAAATCCTGTGACAGAGCACATCGAAGAGAATAGATAATTCATTGAAGGCAGTGTCAAAGCCATAGGAAAGTAAGAAACCACCTTCACTACTTGCTGACGTCATTTTGGGCTGAAGTTTAGACATATGAAAAAGGCAAAATATAAAATGACTTACATACATACATTCTTAGCTATTATCAGGAAACAGAAAACAGATCTTGACCGAGCATCATAAAAATCTTATACTGCTCATGCACTCATGTCGACTGCTAGTTTTATTCATCCCTGTATGACAACACTCCCGAATACTACAACATTGGCAAGTATGCCAGAAGTATGAAAGGCAGCATCAGTAACTTAGACCCTAGAGAACGTAAAGCAACATCATGATAAAACCTGCAACACCTAAATCTTCATTTTGAATGTTTGAAATCCGTGGTTAGTGCTAACAAAATCATTTTTGTACTCGGAGTAAATTCTACGCACTGAAAACCATTTGGGTGCTCAAAATGAATCATTTTGCAAGCTAAGACATGTCACTGTCAAAATCATTACATAAATCCATTTTCATGCTCATATGCAGCAGCTTTGGACCTCTCCTATTGTCACTGAGGTAACTAACCACCATCCTCACTTCAAGCTCAGTGCTCTTTCTGGACAATGTTGGGCTTGGCAAATTACCTTGTCATGTTTGTCATAACAGAAACCTTGTAGGCCTATTATCAGGAATGAAACCAGTGAATAACACAATTCTGCGTATAACAAGTTAGGTCCTAATATTATTAGGACCTAACTTGTTATATGCAGAATCTTGTATTAACAGTGCTCCTATTCACGGGGTTCGACTCGATGATTCTGAGCACAAGAAATTATTTCAAGCACACAAAATGATTCAGTGCAAGTGCATGAAATGATTTGCGTACACAAAACTTATTTTGAGTACTTTGAGCACTCGAAATGACTTTGACCCCACTTAAATTAAATAAACGTGATGAAGAAGGGTCGTGATGATGAGTGTGAAGGGAAGTCTGTATATGGAAATCTTTCCCATATCTGCCCATAAGCCTTTGCATAAACTTTCATTCATTCATTCATTCATTTATTCACTTTATTTCCACACAAAGGTGTAGGGACCACTAAGAAGCACGGCTTGCCGAGTAGGGGCCCCATACAGACATAACTGAACATGTAGGACAAATACGTTGCATATAAGTCATCTACATATAACAACTAACAAAGAAACAAATATACAATAAGTACGTGTACATGAATTCAGACAAATAAAGTAATAAAACCTGTATCTTTAACCTGTATCTGTAACCCGTAAAGCTCAGTCATTTCCCTTGTAATTATTCAGTAAGCACTTCTTATATTTCTGTTTAAATAGCGACAAGGTGGGTAAATCTTTTAACAAACCTAATGAGTATCTGTAACCTGTATCTGTAACCTGTAAAGCTCAGTCATTTCCTTGTAATTATTCAGTAAGCACTTCTTATATTTCTGTTTAAATAGCGACAAGGTGGGTAAATCTTTTAACAAACCTGATGAGTTCCACAGCTTTCGACATGTGTCTTTACCGTTAAGCGTTGTCGGCCTACTAGCTAGTGTACTACCACGCTCCATTCGAGCACGGTTCGAGGTAAAATGAGAACGTTCAACGTGCGCGGGCCCAGCTTTCTACCTTCTAGAGGGCGTTCGAAGCAGGCCTAGTCTAGTAGTATTAGTAAACACTTAACATTAATGTGAAGTGGGCATGTCTAGTCTGTGGGAACTACCACCTAGACCTGCGTGAAAGTATAAACTACATAACAGTGAAAACCTCCAGACCTGTAGCGGTGATCACACGAAGTACTATCACTCTCATGGACAGGTAAAAAGTTTGCAGATTCAGTGAAATGAATGTCCTGCTCTCATTCCCCACTCGCACGGGATAATCATGGAGGAAGGAGGAGGCTTTGTATCACTATCAGACTAGACCTAACGGATATCGATCGATTGCGTTGCGTTATTATCGGTCGTTCGTGAAGGAGTTCGCGGACTTAGGCCTAATGTTCGTCATTATAGTCAGAAAGAACGACGTATCTGGGTGCTATGATTCTCGAGTTTTATACATTAAAACTTCAAAATACAATCTTGACTACCTCAAGACGGTTCCTATAATTGTCCACAAGCTTTCCGCATGTCCCCTGTGAGATGTTGGTCCACTCTTCCTTGGCGAAAGCCTCCAGCTGGGTCAGGTTGGATGGTCTCCTGGCAGAAAGCTTGTGGACAATTATAGGAACCGTCTTGAGGTAGTCATCAAGAACAAAGGCTATACTATTGACTATTAAGAAAAGACAATGGATTATGTAAACCTGGGGTACGAATATTTTTGAACAGGAACAAAAACGAAACCCGGGCCATATTTATTATTATGCAAATGGAGTTTAGCCAATACACATATGGATTGCAACAAACAGACGAAAGATATAGTGGAAGTGCCAACATAATAGCTTTTAGAAATGAAGAATTTAGAAAAGTATGTGATTTTCCAAAGGTTATGAATACGTTTGAGCACAACTGTGGGTCTCTAGCCCTCATGACCGGTCATGTTGCCTTGTTCAGTTTGCTAGCTTTTCATAACAAAATCCAAATTGATTTTTGATTTTCACCCAATTTCATATGAAGTCGCATTCCTAATCCCAATTCTGTAACATTTGAAAAACAATCTCAATGTTTTTTCAGTTTTCAGTTCCTGAATGCTTCTTCAAAGTCTACAATGCAGATCTTCATAGTTTTCCTTATGTTCCTGACCCAGACTTTGTGGTCCAATAGCATCTTGCCTTGTGAGGCAGAGACTGTAAGAGATGAGGGTGGAGTCTATGCAGAGAAGCGTCAAGGTGCCAGACCGAACTTCATCATTCTGTTTGTGGATGATTTAGGCTGGGGAGATCTCGGAGCAAATTGGAACGAGGATGGACTTCCGAGTGACACACCATTTTTAGATGAACTAGCTGCCAAGGGAACAAGGTTTGTGGTTTGTTTACTTCATTTCTTAAAAGCCTATATGATTGCAGAGTTGCACAACAGTTTGTGTGTTTACAAGAAAAGTGAAAACATTTGATCTCAACAAAAGCAGAGTAAATTTTAAAGATAAAAAACAAGTGTTTTGTAGCTGACACATTTAAAAAAGCTGCGATCAAGTTGTCGTTTTTGGTCTACTGATGTTACAAAGTGACCCATTAGTCTTAACGCCTTTTTAAGAGACTTTTTTCCAGGGCAAGAAATGACTGTCGTTTGATTGTTTCTAATGAGAGCCTACAAATTGCAAACATGGAAATTTGACATTTTATTGTAGACATTGCCATCAAGTTTGAAAAGAAAGAAGTGCACAGAGGGGAACTGTGACCATTTTGTTGACATTTGTAAACAAAATTAAAAATGTTTTGTCTTCAGTTCGTTTTTTTCTCAAACATTTTTGCAGCAGAAGTAACTGATTATCTGACTGACAGAGTAAATGATTCTGAAATGCTTCCCTCAACTTTCACTTATAATTTAAGTAATATTGGTTATACCGACTGGAAGGTTCACAGATTTCCATGCTGGGGCATCACTGTGTACGCCATCCCGTGCCGCCCTCCTTACAGGAAGACTGGGTAAGAGGACTGGCGTAGTGGGTAACTTCAATGTACAATCCTGCGCAGGGATGCCTTTGAATGAGACCACCATGGCCGAAACCTTCAATGCCGCGGGGTACCGAACTGGTATGATCGGCAAGTGGCATCTTGGGATATACGGTGGGTTCGGTCCAGTGCACCGAGGTAATTATAGCAGCATTACGTTCTGGTCAGTGAAATATCTTAGATGTCTTAATCGTGGCAAGCTTTAAAAAGTATCAAAATTTGTGCTGTATTGTTTTAAGTTACTCGTAGGTGAAACTCTAAAAAACGATGACTTTCAAACCCATTACAGCAAAGAATGGTGAAAGTGTCTGAAGTTTATATACAGACTCTTAATGCATAAGATAAAGGGAAACCATACGGGAAATTTCTATGAAGCATATTTTGCTCTTCAAGTGGATGATGTACAGTGAGAAAAAATGGCTGGATATTTCCATCTCAAGTCAAAGGGGGGGTTGCTTTTAACAAAGAGCACAATGTTCAAAAAGCACTTTACTTTTTTTTTCCCAGTGTCGTTGGATTTCAGGGGCAAGTCCAACAGTAAACAACTTAGTGACTGCTGCTGAAGTTGTTTGCAGTTGCTGGCATGGTTCCAAGTACCACGCAGGCTCAGGCTGTTTGTTTATAGGCCCTGCAATTGTTTTCTTTTTTCTTAGGTTTTGATTCCTACTTGGGCATTCCTTACAGTGATGACATGGGATGTGTTGACAACCCTGGCTACAATTTACCGCCATGCCCACCTTGCAATCACTCAACTGGATATGGTACATTGTATGATCTCTTTCTAAAGATACTGGCTAAAGGTAAGTTTTCTAAAGGAAAGATTACCAATTCTTTGTCTTATTTACATTTTAGTGTTGCAGTACATAGCTGCTTGATCTTGGTATGAATGGTATGAAAACGTTTAGTTTGGCTGTGAGTAGATTTAGGCTTTTTCATATTCAGGCTGTATTTGTCTAAAATCACATACATGTAATTGTGATCAATTTTAAAACTGCATAAGCAGTCTCCCGTCATCTCATTGGTGGATCATTGATGACATCAATCACTGAATTTTCAATTCTAAACTTCATTTCACTTCACTGGTTCCCGCTCCAGATTCATATATCTCTTTTTTCCTAGTGAGAAAGGGGGCAATAATTTAGGGATAGAAAAGCCAGTCTAACATGGCAGACTGAGTACTACCAGCGGGTAGCGCATGGAACACAAATCTGTTTTGCAAAATGACTTGCATTAATTCCTGAGCAGGACCAATTTGTTCTCCAAACAGAAACAAATTTATGCAGGTATTGTATAGAACAGAATAATGTTTCACATTTGTACAATGGTAAGAACAATTTGATTTGGTGACAGATGAAATGATGAATTCATCAAATCATGAAATTATTCTCATCATTACACCCCTTGGCATTCATTTGTTTAATAATGATTAGTCATGACCTGGAATTTGAGAAATAACTGAAAAGGGATATTACATATCTTCTTAAAAATCCCTGAATCACTTCCAAAAAACTATATTTCAACCTCATATGGCCAATGGTTAGAAGCTTGTATACATAGATCATAAATGGAATGGGCGTTGCAAGGCGATATGTGCCTTTCGCACATAGGGTTAATGTGATATGCCCTGTTTATTACACTGTACTCGCATAACCTACTCCAGCAAATCAAGATAACACCCACAAGTGGTTCCTTATTAGGATGTCCACACTATGTTGACCATTCTAGTAAACTTATGTAACTCACAACAGCACCTGCTTATCAGCCACTACTAAATGTATCATTGTTGCCACTGATGAGAGCCACTTCACTTTCAGTATAGAGAACCCACTTCTACACAATTACAAGTACAGCTCAACTGATTGTACTTGACCTTTTGTGAGCACTGTTGTCTGTATTCCATCTTGAGCTAGCTAGGGCAAAATCCTCTGAACTATTTCACAAATGCATTGTTGGCAGAAGCTCGTCTTTTGGCATATCTTATCAAAGCCTGTAAGTGTTTGATCAGTTTTGACAGTGAATGCCTGTTGAAAGAAGCTTCCAACTTAGAATTCTGTTTTCATTTTGAGTACACATTATCCCTTACTTCTGGAGGAAAAAAATACCCCCTATTTTGTTCTGTTCCAAGTTTCTCATGGATAAATTCTGGATGTTGTTCCAACATTTGAAGGTACATTTCCATGCAATAAGATGGCAGCTGTGCCCTTAATTGAGAACACTACAATCATTGAACAACCAGTAGATCTAGCAGCTGTAGCAGGTCACTACAAGAAACATGCAAGTAGCTTCATCAAGCAAAGGTGAACAAGAAATGCTTCAAAATTTCACCGAGGCTAAACTTGTTGCCAAACTTGTTTTCTTGAGAAATTTCAAATTCATTCAATAAATTACACATGTAAAACTTCCCATGAAGATCAGGCAAAGAAAAGAGTTCCGTATCTGGACTTTACTTCTGATTGACACCCTGTGCACATACCCTGTGAGACTTGTTTTAAAAAAAATCTCTGTTTTATAAGTAAATGTTTGAATATTTCCCTGCAAATTTGACCTTTTAGGACATGTTCTTGCTTTCTGATGGCTGAATTGACATTGCAGGGAAAAATTAGAATGTGTCCGTGTATTGAATTCTTCCCAACAGAAAATTAAATTTTGAAATTTACTTCCGAAGTCCAAGAGGCTGTGACAGTAGAGTAGACCCCAAAATTGGCTGAGAATACCTTGACACCATTAGCCAAACCTCACTAAATTGGAGTTAGCATGTTAAAAACTTTTCCAGTTGAAAAATTTTAATTGAACTATTCACGCACCAAATCCACGTTTGTAAAAAAGTTTGTTATATATGGCAAATGTGAAAAGAATTCACTTTGCTCTTTCATATCAAATTAAAGCATTTCATTCTTGTTGAAATAAACTTTACTCCAAAGTGCAAAAGTAGTCACTAAACCAAAGACTTGTGACCACAACACCACTCTAAACTTGCTCAATGGAGGGTCCAGAACAGTTTTGGGGAGGTGGGGGATAGAGGGGCAAAGCAGAACTTGGGAAAATATTTTACTTTTTATGGCCTTTCCAAGAGGTTCGGCTACATTTGTGGGGCTTTTTATGTGCTTTGGAAGAAAGAGATGTGAAATAGACAAAAAAATGGACTTTCTCTTGGTTAAAAAAGAAATGTGGGGAGAGCAAAGGCCGCAAGGGCCATGTGTCCCCTCCCATCCAACCCTGAACTTGCTACAGTTTCTTTTTTCTGTGCAATTTGGGGTAAACCTGTGATCTAAATAAGAAAGGTGCCTTAGGCCCTCAAATCAAGGCAAAAATTCATGTTATGGGAAGTGGAACATTTCTTTCAGTGCCCAGGATGGCAAGCCATTCCTACTGTATGTGGCCTTCACTCACGTCCATGTCCCGCTACTTTTTAACACCAAATTTGCCGGCACTTCTGCCCGAGGCCCATTTGGCGACACGGTCCGGGAACTGGATGACACAGTGGCAGGCATCATGGAGGCAGTGAGGCAGGCAGGAGTGGAGAATGACACCATGGTCTGGTTCACAAGTAAGAGAAAGCACGCTCAGATGACCCATTAGGATGAATTTTTTTCCATTTCAAATCTTAACTGTATGGAAGGTTGGTGGTAGTACCAAGGAAGTCATCTGTCATTTTGAGTTGTGTGGTTTTGAGAAGTCTGTCTGTCATCTCCTGATGACAAACAGAGCACATTGTTAGAAATGTCAAGATGAAAAAAGAAACGTTAGCTTACTGTTGTTCATGTCCATCATGCAAACCTACAAGTCTCAAGACGCCTTACCATATGCGTGTCAACACTTGCAGCCAGCATTGCGCATCTGTCAAAATCAATCCTGGGGCAACTTTGACGGCTGAACGCAGGGCACGCGCATGCTATGTTAAATGGTGTCGATTTTTGTGTCTGTGAAAGAGAAAAAGACATGAACGCATCGCGCACACGAGGCACCCAAAACGTACATATTAGAAGGCGCCTTCATTCAAATCTTAAAAACTCTTCAAATATTCTGGGACAGCATTGAGTGTACAATGCTTTTCATTGCATTGGTATAATTACATTGGGGTTACATCCCCAACATCAAGTAACTAACCTGTTAGGAAGTTTCAGTTCTTCAACAGATATGCATCTGAGAAGAAACAATTTCACTTGCATCGTAGACTTTTAAGTATCATCAATATTGCACAGCATCAATATAGTACAAAATGTACGGGGCCCTTTTGGGGATCTTTTCAACTTTAATAAAACTGGCTGTACATCAACAAATGCGTCAATTTAAGGTTTGTTTTTATGTCTATTCAGGTGACAATGGACCATGGGCAGCTAAATGTCTCTATGCAGGCAGCAGTGGTCCATTCCTGGGTCTCTGGCAAAAGACTAAAGGTACTTGCTTTTAATTAGTTGAGAGTTAATTGACTAATCTTCACGGATGGGGCTGGGAAAGTTAATTGCTTTTCTTGCTTATAAGAGTGGCAACTCCTTAGTTATTTTTACAAACACAAAGTCAGTTTTACTGTCATGTTTGTAAAGGGAAACCAAGAAAGAAATTGAAATAATTTCAAATATGGTCAAAGAAGTGTCAACACCAAAGCAGGTTCATTTATCTGCACTTTCCTCTGCTAATGACTTACAACAGTCACTGTTTCTTTTGATAACCTATCCAATTCAGTGTTGATCAACAATCCATGTGTACACTGTCGCTGAGTAAAACTGCATTATCTTATTCAAATCACAAACCTGACTAAAGGACTTCCAAGTGATAAAGTAAACCTGTTTTGTGGATGTTCTTGTTTATTCAAGACACGATAAGGGCAAAACTCCCGTAATTAAAAATTAACTTCCCCCTGACACAAAGTACATCTTGGCATTAATTTGTGGTATCCGCTGCTACACCCGACTCAGACCGGCCAGCCGACCCTGGCAAGTTCGGTGGTTGAGTGGTTATGACATTTGCACTAGTAAGCAGGAGGTTGTGGGTTCGAGTCCCAGTGAGCTTGTGAAATTTTTGCAAGCTCTTGGACAAGCACTGAGCATACAGTGCTTATAAATATATGTGTCAGGTGAGGGCAAAAAACCCATAATTAAAAATATGATTTTCAGTTTCAATTCCTTTAGCCCACATCAGTAAACAGTTATTCATGTGCCCTTTGGCCTTATGGACCCTGAGCTTGTAAATCTTGAAATTTACTTTGTAAGTCCAAGAGGCGGTGACAGTAGACTGGAAATATTTTGAACAGTTGGGCTATTTATAGTAAATAAACCATATGCCACAGTTTGACATAATTGGAAGTCTAAGTCATACAAAGGCACTGTTCTTGGCTACGGCTGCAGCTGTTTTCCATTATGTGTCAATGGCAAAAGCCAAAGCCTACAAGGTACCTGATTCTGGCTCAGAAGCTCAGAAGCCTGTGACAGATTTTAATGATTGGTACAGTAATTCTGGTTGTCCCTTCTCTAAAGTTAGCATAACCTTTTGTGAACAGGTGGTGGGGGAAGCACAGCCAAGATGACCATCTGGGAGGCTGGTCACCGAGAGCCGACATTTGCCTACTGGCCAGGTCACATACCAGCTGGTCGCGTCTCCGACTCCTTACTCAGTGCCTTGGATATCTATCCGACCATCGCTTCTATTGCTGGCATCCCGATGCCTAAGTATCGTGGCTACGATGGCATGGATGTCAAGGATGTGCTCTTTGGAGGATCCATATATGAACGGGTGAGAAACCTTGCATAGTAGAGACCTCATGGTCTTTCACCGAGGTTAATTTTTATTATAAAATCCTCCCAAAGTGCAGTGGCATGGGAGCATAATGTACAGTACAGTGCCAACATAGAGCAATTACCGATATCAAAGAGCATTGCCAAGTAAACTTTTTCATTAAATAGTTTCAATGTCAAAACTGAATCAGCAAGCTGATGTTAACCATGTATACTGTTCAGTAGCATCAGCTATCATATTTTTACACAATAGCCAACCTCAGAACAACCTTGACCATCAGACAATGCTCAAATGTCAGCACAACAAAAACCCCAGTATCCCTATTCCAACAGTAGCACAATGTTGGAAATGTGAAATCAAAACGAATACTACACTCCAGTCACCATAATGTGGCAAGGCGTCATCAAATGTATTTATAAGGTCAACCAGTATCATACCTGTATGTGCACAGTGCATGTGATCAGTTATCAATATGAATTCTATGCCAGAAAGAGGCCGTGACTTTTTTGACATTTAACGCAATGCACACCTGTTTAGCCTAGATACAATGCACATACACTCAGTATCACAGATGTACATGTACAGCATAGTTTCATCTGAATGTGCACTTTACTCAAATATTAATATTAGTGCAGGGGTACTTGTCAAGGTATTTGTGGACAGGTTGTGTTTCAAGTCTGTCTGTGTTTGGAAAGTATTTCCAAAATAAAAAAATAAAGTATTATTTTTTCACTTGAGACTTATTTAGGAATCTATATCCTGCCTTTTGCAGACTCTCTTTCACCCAAATAGCATGGCATCAGGAGCTCTTGGTGACATAGGTGCTGTCAGACAGGGACGCTACAAAGCCGTGTATCAAATAGGTATGGACCTAAACAGTAAAATGAGGGTAATTAAGACATCAACTCAAGAACAAAGTAACTTGTGGGGCAAGACGGACATCCGGGAGTTTCACAAAATTGTGGATAGCAACCACACCGTGCCAATGAAAACAACTGCAACAATATTATGCGGACTGGTCAAAGAAAAGATTGTGTGACCCGATCCTCAGACTGGCTGGTGCAAGCATATGTCACCATGGATGCTGTTTTCACTGGCATGGTACCTGCCATTTTGGGAGAATCCCGTATGTCTGCACTGCCCCATTGGCTTGGAAAGCATTTCTAGTCTTTGGTTACTAGTAAAAGACGCTTGGATTTGCTGTGGAACTCAGAAGTGTGTATTTGTCATTTGAGAACATATCATACTGTATGTAGCATAAACAATAACCATTTCTGATATCAACTTGATGGAATAGGGCCATTCCTAGAATAGGATTGTCTTTCATTGACACTGGGGATGGTTGAGACTGTGCATCCCCAGGCTGAAGTGAATATTTTGGTTTTCAGCTTTTTTCACAAAACTCTTAGGCAGTAAACAGACATTCATCAATGAGCTACAATCACAAGTGATAACTTTCATGTGAAGCTTTTCAGGCATTGTTGCCTGAGCTTTGCCTTACAAAATGGTAGGTGAATTGAGGGATCACTCAAGAGCTATATTCATGTCCCATACTCTAGTCATGTCTGTGCTCGAATCCAAGTCTAGGCCTTTTCCAGTAGTGGCAGGTACAAGATGCTGACAACAGACTTTGCTGTAGCTCTAAAATGGCCTTTTGTTGGACCTGACCCCCCTCCCCTGTGGGACGCAAACGGAATTGTAATTAAACTTGGTTCATTTAAAAAAATGTCCCTCCATGTCTTCCCTTCTCTGCAAAGTTTAATGCGTGATGCATTTAATTCTGCAATTGATTGTATTTTGCCAATGATTACATGTATCAATTCCGTCAGATTTGTACATCACTACAGAAGGGTCACTGTAAACTGTGTGCTCTGTTAATCAAAGATTTTTAGTGTTCCAGTGTATCTGCAGGGGTAAGCAATATCAAGTAGTAACACCTTGGGTCAAGACTCAGTTGTCGTCTATTTTTGTGACAACAGGCAGTGCCAGGCCAAACTGTCTTGGGGAAACCAGCCCTCCGCGCCACCGTAACCCCCCACTGATCTTTGACATCTACAAAGATCCAGCGGAAGGACAGCCGCTTGACCAGAGCTCAGCTGAGTACAAGAGTGCCCTCCAGGACATTGAGGCCAGCCTGCAAGCTTTTCTGGAGGACGTCAAGCAAGACAACACAACAGTGGCGGATTACAGGCAAGACCCACGCTGCATTCCATGCTGCAACCCGAATCAAGTTGACTGCAGATGCAGTGGCTGACATTACATTTCAAGATTGCAGTACTGTTCCACATAAGCCTTCTGAATACATGTAGTACTATGCACTAAATAGTGAAATCACATTCTATTAATGACTGGAGTTGAGTCTATACACCTGTGCATGCATTCATGCCTGCATATTTTTCTGAAACGTATCTGATTAATTTGGACCTATTACTTAAGCAGTCAATATTTTCGTACTCAATTTGAAGGCTGAAAAAGGTTTGTATTCAAGGAGCCATCTGAATATTTTGGAAATATTTCTATATATTTTGTTAACCTGTTGTATCTGATTATTTCACATCTTTAAAAAAGATTGATCTTTTAAGGTAAAACAGCAAGTGCTTTATACAATTTCATCAATATTTTCAAATTTACCAGGAAGTTGTACTCAGCTTTATCATTAATAAAAAATTGGATGACTTCAAAAGTCAAGATTATCAATGTGTGTAGATCGTTCTATAACTTTGATGAGAAGAATCAGTTCATGTTGCTGAGTAGATGTTCCATACTGAAGTATACAAAAATGTCAACACTGAATTTCATTTTCTTTTTTTTCACACACACTTTAAATCTTTCAGTTTGTGAATAAAACTCTCAAGCAATATACAAATAGGTGTTCCAACTTGTTCAGTTTTATTTACATGTACATTTTTTTGTGGGTTCAGAAAGTAATACATAAATGGGAAAACCTCTATAAACCTGATAAACCCGGCATATTAAATGTAGTCTTTCTTTGCACCCAACACCCACAAACAATAGTGAAGCAGCTCAGGCAAAATGAAGGGCGCCTTCACTAGTCAAGCTATGTTGATAATGTGACCTTGATTCACAAAGAGGGTGTTGCATTGTGGTCTCGTGACAATGACTTCTGCCAGATCAATCCACACGCGTTCCACACTACATGTTGGATTTTAAATATTGGTATATAAATAAACTGCTATGACCACTTTGTGCCGGGGGGGATTTTTCTTGAGCAGGATGAGATGATGGGATGTTTCAAGATTTTCCGTTTTCAAAATTCTTCAAAAATTCATGTGTTCATTTACTGGACGTTTACACCCACACGGACGACTGTCTGGTAGCTACCCTAATCAGACAGGCAACCTTCATTGATGCCCGAGTATTCAGCCAGGCTGGCAGCCCTGTAAAAGAGAGCCCAGTATTGTGAGGTGTTGCATAATTCCGGTTGTTTTGGTGAATGCCAGTAATGTCTTTTCATACGCCGCTGGGTTGTTTTGGTGAATGCCAGTAACGTCTTTTCATACGCCGCTGGATTAGCGAGCAGCGGTGCTGTGTCGCTCATCAATAGGGCCGTGGAGCACTTTTGTCCGTAGTGCTAATCCGTGGGCGCGCTATGCCCGAAATAGTGGTATGCCGTTTCAAAACTGTGCCGGATTACTTTCAAAAATGGAAGTTGAAAAATGATAGCAATTCCCAGCAGCAGGTCCTTTGTTTTGAGTACAGTCTTTTGTTACACAGAACAGCTCCTTTGTCGGAAACCAGGCACCCTAGCTCTGCATATAAACTCACGGTGCCTGAAACCGGGCACCTCAGCGGAAAGTGAATAATACTGTACACTTTTTCAAGTGAAGAAGAAATGTGGAAGATATGCTGGCAGCTGTGTTGCCGTCACAGGTCCCAGCGTCGAATGTATGGCACAGGTTCAGTTTATTCTAGAGAGCTCAGCTTACCGATAATCCTTTGCTTTTTCTGGAGTGGATTCTTTCAAGATTTACAGTTGGGCTGTGTAAGCAAGCCTGGTTGAAAGAGGTCAGCATGGATGAAGCATTGAACTAATTTCAGAGTAACTGGACCCACAATCCTTCGCACTTCCCGAGAGAGGTTCTACACAGAGCGATGATTGCACGCATAAAATGTGACTTCCTTTCCAAGTTGCTTCACCCACAATCCTCTGCACTCCCTCATTAAACAGTACCAGGACACCTCGTTGACACCAGTCTGTATGGGTGAAACATACCAACAATATTCAGGGTTGGTTTACCTGCAATCCTTTACACTTCCTGAGGAAGATTCTTTCCAGAGTTATAGTTGGTTAGCGCTGTTGAGAATGGTCACCAAGGATGATTGAAACATCAGCAGATTTGTTAGCACTGTACTATTTTGAAGTGGGCTGGTTGCATGGCAGAGATGGGATTTCGTCAACCTCGGATCTGTTGGAAACTGCTGTTTAACACTTCTGTCTTTGCTCTGCACATTCTGCCTGTGCTCGGTGTCAATCGCAATAAACTCCTTAAACCTTATTACTCAATATGTTCCTGTTCTTGAATGCCAAAAATGCTTTCTTTTCAGGTTTTGGGGGAATAAAATTAAGTTTGTTAAAAATGTAAAAAGGGGGTAGTCATTTAAGGAATTTTTATCGCATATTCACTTTTCAAACTGTAAGATAAGAACGTTTGGATTAGATTTGAAGTAGACAAAGTATTTGGTAAAAGTTGTGAATTTATTTTTACATTCGGTGAGGTTTTGCATAACTGGGTAATTGAGGGTGACTATTTTAGAAACAAATCAAAATTAAATTCTTAGATCAAAAGAAAATGACCACAATGGCAAAAAATGGGAAAATCTAATTTTAAAAAAGGGGCTTAAATTAACTAAAGTATACTCAATATGTTTGTGCTTATACTGCTTCCTAAATATCACGATTCTCCAAGTAGATGAGTTTCTGTCGGTAAACTCCCAACTGTCTCTGTTGTTTCCCCGAGATTGAAGAGGTTAAAGATGACTGGTATCCTGGCCAGGTGCGGATTGTCCTCCTGTAGGTGTTTGATCCATGATTGAAGGGTTTCTTGGCAGCTGTTGTTTGTCATGCACATGGCAAATATGGGGCCTTCAGCATGTGTTTGCTGTACATCTGGGGGAAAATACAAAATAAATAACACAAGAGGAAATTAAGGTTGAAACCGACCAGCCTGTCTTTTTGTTGTAAAAGGGAGTGATAATTTGATCACATTTACTTTAAAACAGTGATTAAATCGGGTAGAATAAGTTTGAACTCTTTAATAGCCACGGTGGCAGACAGAAACGGAAACCCTTCTTTTGCATTTTCTCTGGTATAATGGTAACACTTCGTTTTTGGTAGCATCAGAAAACTGGTCCATGTTTTTCCACCCAAGTCTGGCACACATGTTGAAACCCATTTTTTAAAGAATGAATAAACAGCTCTTTTAAAACGTTAATTTGCAAAATGGCAGGTTGTTTGTTTTGCTTATTTCTTTTTAAATATTTTTAAAAGAGCTCAGTACATCAGCAGTAAAAGTAACAAGAGCACTAAATGTCAAAACAATTTTGTAGCGGTACCTGAGAAAATGTTAACTGATGGAATTCTCCCCACCCCCCCGCACTTAACACTTCCCTAGTCGCAGCTGTTAACTTTAATGAACCGAAACAAACCTTCGTTTAATGTTTCATCATCGCCCAATGCAAAAGGATCTCCTCTCAGTACAAAATAGGTTAATTTGGTGCTGCGAAGCCAAAGGTGGAAAGCACCCTCAACATAGAGCGGCCTGACAGGTGGATGCTCAGACAGGAGTTCCTGCTGCTCGGCACTCTGGACGTTGGTGATGAACTCAGCATTCTCTGACTCTGCATTGCTTCCATTTAACTGAAATAAGTCAAGAGGTACTCTCTTCATAAGGATAATAATATCACAGCATTTATAAGACACAGAATATCTAACAGTATTTCTTGTTGGAAGATGCTGATATATTTTATCACCATCTCTGCTCATGGGCTCACAAAGTTTGAACATTCCTAAGATCATCTCAGCTCCCGAGAAAGTATGCTGGCCCGATGCTGCTGTTTCTGGCACAAAAAGCTAAATACAATTAAGATATCTGCCCTTACAGGTACCTATTTATACTCCTGGGCGGAGAAAGGCACGTAGGGTTGAAGAGACTTGCTTGAGGCCACAACATGTGACCACCTGATGGGACTCATATCCCTGAATCTATGATTAGAAGCTACAAAACCTATCCATAAGGTCAAATTTCCTTTAAACCCCAACATCCTGAGTTCTTCAAGTGAGAAGCCTTCTTGAATCCTCTGTTCAATGGGGAGTCCAATGACACGTCTGCACAGTCTAAGGGCCTTGTGTACAACAATGATGGCTGGGACGTTTGCTTGTGCCTTGAAAGTCACCTACTGGGCTCTGAACGAGTCTGGACGCTCAGGGTTAATGTTTATAGAATCATTTGCATGTCAAGCTTTTAACTACATGTAGACCAGGAACACTGGTGTTGCAGAACAAAAACAGGATATGCTCTGTCAGAATGTGTGGTCAGGAATCTCAATGACAAAGGACTCCTATTTTCTACAATCAAACAGTGTTGATGCTTTGTACAAAGTGTATTCTAAATACCTGAAACAATGATACATTTCTCAAACAGCAGCTTGTGGCCCACAGCATTTTGATACAACAGGTAACAAGGACCTATCATGTTTATGCACTTTGCAAATTCAACCTTACGAGCACATTCAAATCACCAAAGTGACATTCTCAGATTTGACAGCAAAACATTTGCCATTAGAATTGCCTCTTACATAGAACACCTTCAGCTTGGCCTCATATTCCGCGATACGCTTCAGACCGATCTCAGAGAGTTTGACTGGATCTGTGGGGAGTTCCTTTGGCAGCGGGAAGGGGTTGATGTTGCGGAACTTGGGAAACCAGTACATCAAGCGCTGGTACTTCTTGACTGGGTGTGCCCGCTTGCCAAAGACTGAGATGAGGATGTCCTTGGTTTCATTGTTGGGAAGAACAGCTGCAGAAAAAAATGTGGAAAGAGCCATGTCACACTAAAGGTAGAAATGCACAAATACAACATACATAGAGACCTGATCAACAATTTTAGTCATTTTGAGCAAAACAGAGGTAGATAAAACGAGAACAAGGACAGCAACATTACAACAGACTTCATGCAGCAGAATGTGCTTTTTAACACTCACAAGAGTTCAGTATACATTTTGAACAATGGTTCACATAAAAAGGGTACATATTTTAAATGACAAATTTTCATCTGAATATGTACAAACTCAAAGGTTTTGCTTGAATTATAACATGCCAGGCAGCAAAGGTACACAAGTGTCCTGCCGTATCTCTTCCTCTTGAACTACAGAATGTGTACTTGTGAAAGGATTCTTCAAGAGGGAATAAAGACATGGTTTGCTATTTGATAAGTGATTTCTTGGGGACAAAGACAAAAAGTCTAAGAGGTATGCTACACACGGAACGCTACTTACTGTTATCTTCCATCAGTTGCAGCACCTTGATTGCACATATCTGCTGCTCTGGATAGTGGTTGTATATAGACTGGATCACATTCTCTGGAACGTACTTCCCTTTTGGAAAGATGTCCAGCAAGGCGTTATAAGCATCAATATCTTTCTCTACTTTGAAATATTTCATGTAGCGCAGGGCTGTCTCTATGAATTGGATGTGTCCTCGGCGACGCTTGTCAAACTCTGTAAATTTCTTGACAACCTAGGACACACAACGGTCCAAGAAAGTTTGAGACGTGAGTGTTACTAGTATTAATAAATGTGAACTTGGAACACAGAGTTGAAATAAATATACACGAATGTAAGTTACTTTAGATTATAACCTAAAGAAGTTTTAAGTTTTGTACATGTCTGTAATTAAAGGAAAAGTTAACCACTACTTTTAACCCAGCAGAAATACCGTAGGTTATCTTGGATGAGATTTCTTCATCATTAATAAGTTTTGTACATACTCTTTAAGTACTTAAAGCTGATCCAAACTCAGCAGTACATTTTTGTGATAAAATCTAAATGTCGATGTACGCATACACCACCTGTTATTACACAAACATAAATCTTACCACAAACGGCCGACAAAAAGGCTCTACTTCACTATTTTTGTATGGACATGAGCATACAGTGTTGAACCAGAACACACTGTAAGTTTTGACATGTGCCCATCCCCTTGTGAATAGGATCAAAATGCACAGGTTTGCAGATTTCTTACATTTAGTACACTCCCAATGACATTTAGCATCTTTTAACAGCTATTTTAAGAGCCGTAATCAATTTTTACAGAATGTCTGTATTATGACAAACACTGACTTCATTTGTCTCTTGGAACTCTGCAAAAGTGTGAAGCCTGCTAAATCTAACATAGTGCAGAGGCTAGAACAAGTAGATTAGAAGTATCCAATAGAAACTACTCATTTCTGGGTCTCGTTATGCTGAGAAAAGTAAGTGTAGGAAAAGACAGAACTCATCTTAAAAAAAACACAGTTTGGGAACACTACAAATCATTTGATGACCATTTCTGGAAATAGTTGAATATGAAATCCCAAGTGTGCTATTTTTGTACAAATATGTTATTACACGTATCTGTGATGAGTTTTTTTTTATTACCTGTTTGAAACTTTCTTTGTTCACCTCTTCAAGACTGGCTTCTTCAAAGAGAGTTTTGGAGAGGACCAGTGAACTCTTTTCGAGTTTACTAGGCAAGGCTTTTCCTCGGCCTATCCCAGAATACCTCTGCGGACAGGTATGTATCTGTGCACTGTAAAAAGAAGGGCCCTTGGGGGAGAAAAATATAAAATGAAGCAAATATCTTGTGGATATACAATGTGTATATTTTAATGACTGTTTGAGATTAGGCTATGGTTGAACATCAAATTCAAAATTGTGTAATTCTGCACGACTGGGGATCAACTGCATCATGTGGGGGTCAAGTGGCGCATATGTCCTCAAGAACAAACATTTCTCACTAAATGTACTTCCCCACTCATGAGTACATGGCGGTGCATACATGTACATGTATGTGAGGTGTACTGTGATGGCTGAAGTAATATATTTAGCTATGGTCCTGTCCAAATTACTTGGGCTATGGCTTGAAATTATGCAGTGAATTTCAAGTCAAAGCCAGGCTATTTGGACACAGATTTCTTCGGGAGCTGAGATTAAAGATGGAAACAATGCAGGTAATGACAATGTAAAATGCTATTGTTTTTGCTAAGGAATTTAATAAGTGCTAGTTACATGTTGTGACACAGAAATACATAAAGCACTAACTTCAATGAGAATGGAACTCTCTGCCAAGATGCTTTCAAGCAAAATGTTCAGACGTTTTAGGAGAAATATCTGGAGATGACACTCAAACATGTAAAAATATGAACTAATTTTGGCTGTCATACCAAGGTGCATTTAGTCTGGAAGGCTGGCTGTGAGACTCCAGTATGGATGGCAGGCCGTCTGCTGACTGAGAGATGATACAGGGCCCCGCGTAGAAACTTTATGGTTGCCATGGATTTGTATGCTGAGAAAAGAGACAATAAACAGTTAGCCACTGCATGTCACAAAAGGTAGGGATAAAAGAGGTCCTTTTAAAATTGGCAAATTTATCACAATAGGCCAAATACAAATTTTAGAAAGAATAACATAGCGGACCATCACAATTTTAAGTGTCATAAACTTGTTCCCCAAGTCTGTTAATTGAGAATACCCTATTAAAACCTTTTAGTATTAGTGAGACTAAAAAATTAAAATGGTTTCAGTCTGGAATTTTCTCCTTATTCTAAACAATAATCTTAAAATGTGTACATATGCAAATTTAGAGATAAGAAACATGCTTATTCACAAAATCACATTATTAATGTTCCTTTCAAGCTCTGCAGCTACAACTCCCAAACATTTGGACTATAACTAGGTTCGAGTTGGAATTTAAGAAATAAAAACTGTGAAGTTAACATGTAGCATCTCAATTTCATTTCTCAAAAGCATTACGGGTGACGTCAAATTGAATGTATACTTATATTATGCCTAATTGTGTGATTTATATGGTAACAATGCTGCACCATAAAGTCACTTCCCTGATTATACACAAAGTTTATGGACAGCTGGCAACCTTTCCAAACATGCCAAAGTACTTTTGGACATATCTGACAAAACTAGAATTTTTTCAGTCAGTAAAAGATTGTTTTATCCAGATTTTTGAAAGGCAGTGGATTTTCAACCCACTCAAAACATATAAAAGCTCGTCTGAAATTGCACTTGTCAACTAGATTTGAGTTTCATCTTGTGAATAAAAATTCACAAGGGCAATGAAACCAGATGCAGATTCATTACGATGAAATTTTCTAGTTCACCAAAACAGGCACTGACTGTAATGTTCAGTTGCCATCTTGGCCAAAAAGTGAACAGCATATTCGTAACAGTTCCCAATAAAATATCCACTACCCTATCAATGAGCCTACCAGTGCCAGTAGGCAGTACAACCGAAATAAGCATGACGTGTGATACCTTTATTTCTCTTTTTCAAAATAATCTTTCAGTTTTACATTTGCAAATGGAAAGAATTCCACATACAGGTGTGTCTTTTTTTTCCTACAGTGACCCATTAGCCATCAGAAAGCAAGAGGAAAGAGTTCCATATACGGATGCAGCTTAATACCCTGTGCACAATCCCTATGAGACTGATCTGAAAAATTCTGTTTTTTTTCAGAAAACAACTTTGTTTTTTCCCTCCTAAATTGAACTTTTCTGGCCTTTTTTTCCTTTCTGACGGCTAGTAGGTCACTGTGGGAATAATTACTAGCGTTTATATGGAACTTTTCCCAAGCAATAAAATGACCTAAAATGTCAAATTTAGAGGTGCAAATACTAAAGGGTTCACTTAAAGTTTGTCCTCATTCCTCAATATGCACAGTCACTTCGCCCCATTTCCACTCTGCCCCTTACCACATCATCCCATCCCCACTTTGCCCCACTGCAACTTTACCCCATCCCAACTTCGCTCTGCTACCACTTTGCCGCATCCTCCAAAACCAACTTTAGAGTAAATGGAAGTCAATGAAGCAGTTACACATTGATCAGAGTTTTCCAAGTAAACTGTCTTTCACATCCGCTTCAATTGTGGTCCACTAATGGATCTAAGAGGCATATACATGTACAAAACACATGGGCCCATATTACGCGAAGCTCCGAAATTTCATATGTTACTCAACCCATACCAGGGTACCCTTGCCAAAATAAGGTTGGATTAAAAATGAATGTTTCCCCAAGTCTTCTCCTTTAATGCTTTGTTTGGGACATTTCAGTGTCAACTTACTTGTGTGTGACATATGCCTACCTCTCAAAAACAGAAACAGGTATTAAAAAGAAACAGAAACCACACGATCTCCACCTCGTCTCTGGCAATTAGTTAGTTCTGGTGAAGAGACAATACAGTAAAATTAATACATGCAACCCAGGGTCAAAAATAGGCCATGTTTATACATAACATTTGCCTTAGTAAGTTGTTTGAATGGGAACCACTGACTTAGCTGAGTTCTGAAATCGACGTTTTTATTTGATGTATATGCCCCTCTTAAAGCTAAAGAAAAAAAAAAAGAAAGATGATCAGTGGGGCGAAGTGGAACGATGATCTGTGGGGCAAAGTGGAAATGGGGCAGAGTGGGGATGGGACGAAGTGACGAAGTAATTAATGAAAGCGCCCAAAGTAAGCCTAGCTTAGCATACTTAGGCTCCAGTAAGTCGTGTATTTCCGACAGCGGCGACGAACTGTTATCAAATACGTATCCTTAAATAGTTTCCGCATGCTTCTAATTCTAAGTGATAGCATAAATATAGAAAGTATTCCATAATTCATAACTACCAAATATACTGGCAACTGTGACACAAAGACGACAGGTAGCCCAGTCTGGTCAGCCTCCACGTTCGAGCTCACAGGATAATGGAAGTCGCCATCTTTACTGCAACTATTGAAGGTCAGAGGTTATCGGGTATTCCTGTATGCAAATTTGAGCGATTCCGCGATGTGGTTGCTAGGAAGTACTTCGATGTTAACATGCAATTTCCTCATCGATTTGGGATTTTAAGAACTATATATGGCCAGGAGTTCTACTTAATTCACTGATCTAACTTGTTAGACCCCAGCTGTATGAACTTGGAGTTGGCCGTTGTGCTTTTTTGGACGACAAACCTAATTCTATTTTGCGGAAGAATATTTACATGGGATGTCACCGTTGCTAACGGAATCCCCACCGCCGGTGTATGTGTGTACATGTGTTTTTAGACGCTGCAACAGACCAACATGAGCTTTAAGCGGCGTGAATAAGTTTTTTTTACCTTAGATTTCCGGAAAAAAATCACAGAATCCAGAAGACACAATGTCCGGGTCTGTAAGTCTTCTGGAGCTGGTGGACCTATCACTTGGAACTCCTGAAATTGTAAATTACAAGGGTTTGCGAACTCTTCTGATAGCGATCGTAGAGAACTTGAAGCTCGGCGATGTGCAGGCCGAACTCAAAGAGGCCGACCGGGCTGAGCTGCTGGCTGCGGCGGAGGCAGCAGCGGCTTCCGCTGGCCGGCCAGGGAGCTCGGACATCGGCAAGAAGGACTTGGAAAGGAGCAAAAGTGACTTGAATCGGGTGCACAGCGCAGCATCTTCCTCAAAAGAGATCCAGGACCTGGACAGCAAAGTGTCCAGGTTGGAGTCACAGATCGAAGCGCTAAATTCGCTGCCGTCTAACGAGAATTTGATGCAGCGGGCCCGGTCAACGGAGGGAATGAAGCCGATGTCTGAGATGTGGCAGCTGATGCAGCTTCAGAAAAAGGCATCGGCCAACGAGGATGGTGTATCAAAGGTGACTAACACTAACAGTAATAATAATAATAAATTGCGTTTTCTTACTAATGTGTAAATTAAAGCATTTTTATCAGAATAAAGTGAACCAGTCCCCTCGTTGATATCATATTAATAATGTTTGCATATCCTTTCATCTCATCCAGAATAAAAATATTCAGCACATTCGTAGGATAACCAACTCAGGAGAGGGTACAAAGAATTTGCACAAGGCTAACTTTCAGTTGTTCCTGTATATTTTTCAATATCTTAAATGTTTTGTCACCAAATGACACAATATTGTCAAGGTACATCTATGCTTGTAAATGGGTCATGCCATGAGGTTGAGGCACAATTTGTAACGATGTCAGTTGTTACATGGGTTCCGTAAAAATGAACAGCTATATCCCTGCATGTGGATTTCAAATACACACTGTACATCTTGCAAGGCTGAACACAGACGTACGGTGTGTGTTATTTTTACAGAGTATTAGTGACCTACTCTACAGGTCATGACAAGTGGTAAAAGTTAATGCTGTAACAAGGACATCATCACAAATTGTGCCCCAACCTTATGGAATGACCCAGATGCAGAAATATTGTTATGTTACATACACACACACACACCTACCCGTTGTGTAACTTGTGGCACAGGTCATAAACAATTCGAAGTTGAAGATATGTGATAAGATGAAAAGTTTGGTTTCCTTTATATCACCACAAATCTAGAAAAGTGCGCAGATCTTTTTCTTAGTTTCTCACAATAACATGTAACACAGAGAGGACAAATTCAAAGTAGCACGGGGAGGGGACACTAGCTTACAAGACTTACAAGTTAGACTGGTATTCTGAATGAAACCACAGTCTTTTTCCAAATTAAAAAGAAACCAGAGGGAGGGTGGGTTTTTTTATTCTGAAAGATCACCAAAGAATTCATGACAAGTTGAAATACATGTGCAATGTAGGCAACTTTGAGCTCTTAGAGGCAGTAAAATGAGAAGAATATTCAAAAGCAATCCCAATTCTAGCTCAATTTTAACGGAACCATTTCAGATTGAACTACATGTACTTGCCGTGGATCCCCAATACTGTAGTCCCTTTTCATATTACAATTTTTCATCTTGACGGACGTAAAAATTGACTAACATTTACATTGGAGCCCACATCTAAACATATGGTTCTACAGGTGAAGAAAAATTGCAACATTTTCGAATGTTGCTGTTGTTTGAAAATGCATGATTCAGGTAGGCTGTTGTTTCTTACACTCTTCATTTACCGGTAACTATAGTAGTGAAGGTCACTGTTTTCAACACTTTTAACAGTCTATAGAGACAATGCCATGTTGTGTAAAATTTTAAAAGAATGAGCACAAGCCTTTTAATTATATCTTGCTTTACTAGTTTACTTAGAGCCTACATGTACATCACATGTACTGGTGGTGCATGTACACAAGAATCACTGTGTTCTACATCCACAGTCCTCAGAAATTTCACAAACAACAATAATTGTCTTTTAGAAAGATTATAAGAAGTGCATGCAGATGTAATACACATTATATTTTCCAACTCAACATCAGTGCCTACATGTATCTCCAGTCGTATTGTGTGGTTCTATCTACACAGAGTCAGGTACAGTAATGAACAATGGACGCTACAGTTATATTGACTTGTAATGAATTTTTCATTAAGAATGAGCTTAACTCTCTTCAAGTGGTTCATTGTGTAGGATTTTGACTGATGGTCATACAATGTACAACCTGCTGGTGAAACATAGTCTTCTTTTGAATACATGGGTGTGCTGTTTTCGTTGGTGTTGAATAGGGACAATACATAAAGAGAATTAATTCGACGAACATTGTACTGGAAGAGAGATCAATTGCAATAAAGTATTTTACGTTAGCAACACAAAAGCAAATACCAATATGTTGTTCACGAATTTGTGCAGTGTGGAGGAGATAAAAAGAGAGGTTTTTGCATCAAAACAAGGCTTTGTCGTTCTTTGCAAAAAATTTTGTAAAACTAACATTTCTGAAAGTAAATTATAGTCCACACTTTTTTGAAATGTTTCTCAATTTTTCTTCTGCATGTATGTTGCAATTTTCTGCAGTTGTAGCATGACTGCAGCAAATGCATGCATCTTCTTAAAAAATTGATTTCATATTTTGCAATACATGCTGTGTGTTGCAGTCTTTCTGCAGCTTATGATCCTCATTTTCTTGTATTCAGTCTAGTCACTGAACAGACATATACGGTGCCCTATGGATGGCTGCACTGATATCAATTGACCTGTTTCAGTGTTGCCATGGTAGGGTCTCTGTGCAGGGAAATGATATTTTATATTGAACTTCATATTTGACCATCAAACACACCACTGCTAGGTCTCTCTAATCTGTTTGGCTTGTAAGTGAAGTGTCATGCCTAATTTGTGTTAGCATCAATGAGGTTCTGCACGTAATCCTATAATTCTGTTCAGCTACACGTAGAGGCGGGCTTTACTGCTTCGGTTTATGAGTATGCTAATCCTTCATACAGTGCTACATCTTGATTTGAAATATGTGGGAAGGCATTAACTCAGGATTGACTTAACTTTGAAATCTGGCTTAGCCCTAAATCCCACAAATAACGAAATGGCTCACCTGAAGTAAGTTATAATTTAACTGAAGATGAGCAATTTTCTAAAAATGTACATAATAGGTTGTCAACTATTTGATAATTTAGCTTCCAATGTTTGAGATAAGTAATCTCCTAGAAGTGTTGAATGCTTTTAGGAAATGCTGACCCAAAAAGCCAGAGTATAATCAAAGTGTCATTTAAGTAACAATTTGACAAACTCTAGAACGGAAAATTAAATTTCATTTGATTTCTAAAATCAAAGACGTAGTAAAATAATGAGTTTGATATAAGTTTGGTATGTTAAATGACAAATGTACAGTTGGCTAAGGTTCAAAAAAGGCACTTCACTTTATACTACTAAATGTTACAACGTACGGTATGATTTAAAACATAACAAATATGTGAGTTTTAATTAAAATGATTGGCCTTATCCTTTTTAAAAATAAAATAGAGGCTACGGACCTTGTATTACCTGCCACTAAATCACTCTCCCATCCAGCCATCTCTAATCAAATTAACTTAGTGCAGGGGTGTAAACATACAGGTTTAGAAAACTACTCCTTTCCTCTGAGCTGGATTTTTTTTATTTCCTGGATGTTGAATAGTATTGCCTTGACATTTCAGAAATATTAAGGAGTATTCTTCATAGCAGTCTGCTCCACTGTAAAGGGCTGCTTCAGATTTTAAACTGCAGTACTTACATTTTTCTATGCATAAAAACTGCTTTATTAGTCACAGGACAGACTTTTGATGGTTTTTTTTGGTCTGCTCACAATTTGTAGGATGTATTCATGATGAGTTGGATAAGACAGATCATAGTCAGTGGACGAAAGTGTTTCCTGATTAATATTTTGATCAATATAAACCATACATTAGAAATTAGTCAGTGTGAACAAAAAGCCTGAATACATCCTGGGACATTTTTTGTACAAGATATTTTTAAAGAGTCTTCTGCAAGTAAATTCAATTGGCTTAACAGTTCACTGACAGAGAACAAATTTTCCCCTTTAAGATGATCAAGACAAATGAGTGCCATTTTGCTAATGAGATTTTCAGTCGAAGTTTTATAAATTAAAGGAACACCTGTTAATGTCATTCTGCAGTCGCAGTGTTTTTGTTGTCCTCATTATGAGTTGCCCTGGTAAATTAATTTTAGTCTCACTAGGAACTAGGAAGTACCCTGGTTCTGAACTATAGAGGGTTCCGTATCAAGTAATACTCATATATTGTTGATTATGAAAGAGAGAATAAATCTTTACTGTTAGTGCATTTATTGTAAAGGTACATTAAATGTACCTGTAGCATTCATTTCATGCTTCAGCTTACCAACAGTTTTCAGCAGTCTTTCGTATATTTTTATAGACTTTTGCCACAATTCTGTTTTCATTGTTCCTTTTTATTTTTCCCGAGCAGTTTTGTAATGACTGATGACTGACTGTTTTTAATAATGAAGTTGTTGTCTGACTGATTTGTTCAATAGGCTCATGCACTCACAGATACACATACATAGGTAATACTTGATCATTTCAGAAAGACTGGAAATAAAATGAACAAAATAAAAAATAGAAAAGCATCTTTACAAGTTAAAGCAAGGTGAAAGTAATGTATTCGCAGAATAAAAAATGCATTTGGCTATAGAGCATTTTTAATTGGTTCTTGACAGTCATTCAACTTGATAGATTGGCTTGAACTCATTGCACAGGTGTATTTGAATTACCAAATATTTGATCAATTCGACACCTTGTCTGTGTACGAGAACTGGCATTGTTTACATTATACATCATGTACTTGACTTGTCTGAATTGCACTTTTTGTAATGTGAAACTCAGTGCGGCGTGGCAGGGGACAAAGGTCCCTGTAGTTTTAAGGACTGACACGTTTCCTTTGTTTATAAAATGAGGCAATGTATCCCTAGCACCACACAAACTTGACTGGTAGGATTTGATTTCAAGATTTTCATGCTAGCCTTAATTAAATTCGTGATTCTGCATTCATGAGGGTACACAGTCTGACAAATGATACTCACCGAAAACAGGACCTGTTTTGTCTCTTGGCAAACCTACTCTATTTACAGAAAAGGCAATTCATCATTCAAAGCAATTTCATTTAAGCGTTATCCTGAGTTTAAACAACGTTTTTCACAGAAAAGGATCATGTTTGGCACTATTATGACGACCGCGATGTTGGAAACAACTGACATTAACAAAAAGCTCTACCATATCTTTATATTCCATGCATGATTACCTTTCATTTTCCAACATCAGTGGGGTTTTTATTCCACATGATACCCTAAGGATAAGGTTCTAAAGGTGTCAGTCTGTGACAGTGCATAGTCTTTATCTGTTCCTTGCAAAGTCCAAATTTTATTTAGAAATCTTCATGATAGATTGACATTTCAATGAAGAAACAACTTTAGAGGTCCTAAACTTACTGGCACCACGTGATAGAACACAGGATACATTGTAAAATCCTTTCCAATCTGTCATTCTGTTACCTATGGAATTACCCTGTAGTGATTACCATGAAATCTGATAATGTTCTATGTATTTCCACCTGTAGACATAAAATAAATATTGGAGCTAATATATATATTTATTTTTGTTAATAGGCCTACTTGTTCATGTACTGAAATTTTTACAGACTGTGTGCAAAACCAAGAAAATTTCCACAGACTTTTTCCATGATTAACAAATTGGAATGTAAAAATTACATACCTGTATTCTTTTTCTCTTTTTGTTAGGTCAAATAAAGTTTTTAAATTGGTTTTAAATATGATTTTATATATAGCTCATGAGTATGGTTGAAGACCTACTAGGAGAGATGTCAGCACTGAAGGAACATGTTGATGGTTTTAGCAGTGAAATAGCAAACCTCAAAGACAGATTAAGCAAGGTAGGAGTTTACTCATTTCAAATTATGTTGGCTTTTTCATAACAAAATAAAGTGACATGTATTAAAATGGTGTCACATGAGTGAGAAATAGAAGCTGTCCATTAAAATATTTTTTAAATGTTTTTGAAGCCATTACCTTTTAGTGTGTATTACAGTAATTTGGCATTGCCCACAGTGCATAAATCAAAAAGATGTGAATTTACCCCTATTTATTACTATAAAGTAAACATATCCCTTACTTGCTGCATTCTCCAAAATGCATTAAACAAGAATGGACCATTCAAGTGCGAGGTTGGGAAGTAAAATCCTTTTCCCAGGGAAATTATGTCATTATCTTTAGTTGGAATGCGGTGCCATCTCAGCTGTCTCTCTGGAAACAGCTCAGGTACCAAGCATTTATCTCTGCCTGTGGCACATTCTCACATTTTAATGGCATTTACCAATACCTACACACAGCAATGTGTGATGGGTCTAAAGGGTAATTAACCAGCACTGCCCTAGGCCCTGTATGATTACCTGCTTCCTGGATGCTGGCTATAATCATGGAGGAATGCTAGCATTATTGATTGATATGCTTGTTTTTCAGATAAGTGCTAATGAAGACAGAATCAATGAGAGGCTGCTGAAGCTAGAGAACTCCACTGCCAATAAAGACAGGATGGATGAGCTTCAGAAGATCATGGTAATTGAAACCAGAAATGTTCCAATGCCGACCAATGCTGGATACTACCATATCTCCACATCAAACTACAGTGATATTTAATGTAGTTTTATTTCTAGTGCATTTCAATGAAGAGCATTTTCCTCACAGTTTCTCACAATCCTGTCATACTGAAACAATCTTTTCAGTCACACTTCTCAAAAACTACCTTTTGAGCCACAAAGTACATGTATCTACATCATCTGTGCGATGCAGCCAGAATTTATGAAGATTGGGGTATTCTTTTATAATATTAAAATGGGAAATCCTCCCCACACTCCTTGTTCTTGGCCTGCTAATAAGTACATTTCATTACAGCATCCATACAGATTATTTTGATTAAAAAAAGTTATTCAAAAATCTTATATTGAAATTGATATTAAAAACAAATGTGTAAAATGCCGGAAAATTTCCTTTGTGCTGTGGAGGTAAAATATTCTTTCGTACATGTAACTGTCAAATATGACTATGCTTTTCAATTAAGATTTACTTTTAATTTCTTCCTTTTTTTACTTGTGTTTCAGAATGATTTGAACAACAGAATGAACACCTTACCACCGTTAGATATCCTAGTAACATGGCCTGCTATGGAGGATGCATTGAAGGGCATACACAGGGATCCTGTACCAGTGTATGACCATGCCATGCAGACAATTGCCATGACAGAAGTAAGCAAATTACAAGGATTTGGCCCATTTATTTCTGGGTTTTGGTTTGGACTAGGCTTGGTGTTGTGCAAAAACTGCAAAATTATTTTCAATTTGTAAGTGCAATAATGCAATTTTCTTTTAGTGAAAACACTTCCTGTGACATTATTATGTTAGTGCTTCCAGTAAGGAACAAAAAGTAAACTCTACAAAGAAAGAAATCCATTCTCTCAAAATGTATTGTTTTCAAAATAACTAAAACCATCATTACATCTGTTTTCCCCAAAGGCAGAAATATGGGGACTTTTAGTGTGAGAAAGAAATGACCCTCTAAGTAGATCTGACTAGTTCTGGCTGGAAATGGAGAGGGAGCCATCCATTTCGGAAGCACATAGTACATGTACCGTTATTGCTATTATTGTCCAGCAAAATGAGGAAATAAATGCCAGTTGATGGTACAACCCTCATGTGCAACAGACTTGGTCAGCATGTTCCTATTTCTGTTGTTATTCCAGACCACTCAAGTACAAACTGTGCCAACAACAAGTTCCTATTCACAGACGAGGGTAAGTTTGTGTTTTTCAGCCCTTAACAATTTCAAGTTAATGAGACTTGGTACCACTTGGGCATGTGTTTGACAATCTCACCATGAATTTGTTTTTGATATATTGGTGACAAAGTTTTCACCGAATAGAATTTACTTTAACGAGCAGAATTTATATTGAGGGAGAACGTGTCTAGTAAAGCCAGCTGTGTATATTGTCGTTGTTGGTTTCGGTGGAGTTAAATATTTGTCCATCTGTTAGGCCAGTTCAGATATGAACTTTGCTGACAAACACATACATGCGTCTCTGTTGCTGGTTAAAAGTTCATTGTAGTTTAAGTGAACCCAATTAAAAATTACAGACTTTTTCTAATAAAAAATATGAGTTGAGCTATGGTGGACGATATTTTGCCACATGCTCACCATATGGACCCCACATTTTGATTTTGTAATAGTAACCATGATATTAATGTAATGCTTTAGTCATTGTTTGGTCCTCAACTACCTATCATGTGCTCACTGCTCTGCCCCATTGTCATCACTAAGTATCTGCCATTTTACTCAGAGGAGTGAATATCCATAAATAGCCAAAAAGTAGATAACACAGGAAAACCATGATCACACTGGTTATGTAAAGATGAGCAACATGAAAGTATGTTTAGGCTAGAAATCACATGTCCAGTCTGGTCAGTAAAGTCATACCAGCTGTACACAACTTACCATTCCAATGTCCATTCTGTGGTAGACACCAAGTCCAGGTCCTCGGTCCAACCCACCGTCCCGTCCTGGCTCGGCAGCCCATCCGTCCATGGAAATACAGCGCATTCTGAAGGACATCGGTGAGCTGAAAGGAAGGCACGATAGCTTGGACAATAGAGTCAAGATCCTAGAGGTAAGTGAGAATGATTATCAGGTCTGGTGGCATGTACCGATACAATTTACATTTGAATTTAGATACCGGGTTTTCAATTTGTAAGCTGAAATTAATACACGTTTGCATGAGCAGTGTGCACACATCACACAATGCATTTCTTGATTACAGCTTGCCAGCTTATATGCATTGTGCTATGTTCCATTGTAATGTAAAAAAACATGACCTAATCTATAAATTGATGGCTCATTTCCACTGCATCCTGTTACGAAATATGGAATTCTTTAAGCTGCATTTCCACTTTTTGGGGGTCAAAATATTTGACTGTCATATCTCACAACAGGAGCTGATGAATGGTAAAGTAGACTTGGATGAAGTCAAGAAACTACTGGCAGAGAAGAAAGATGTGCCAGAAGACTTGACGAGGATGCTGGAGGAACTTAAAGAAGGACTTGATTCACTCAAAGAGGGGAGAGACAAGGTAAGAGACAGACGAAAACAGCGTACCAGGAGGATTAATGTGACACCGGACATAACTGTAGACATGCCAGTATTCTTTCCACATTATGAGGCTAAATAAGCCATCACAGACCAGTTCAGCCTTGCTGCATAATTGCAAGCAGTTTCTGCATAAGCTTTAAAGAGTGCTGCTTTTTTTCTTTTTACATTTTCATTACTTGATTTATGAAATAAAAGCAAGTGAATCTTCTCATTTGGAATGGTACTCTTTGAAGTACACGCTGTATTGTTCCCCAGAGAGACTTCATTTCATCAAAGTATGCCAAAGCTTAAGCTGTGCCAAAGGAATGGGATGGGACCTGTAAAAATATGCCCTGCACCTGCACCAAATCAATTAATGCTTTTTAAAGGCAAAGTAACTGCATTGCACAGCTGCTTTTTGAGACTAACTGATGCACACTAATATTTCATATTTTTGTTCATAATTCCTAGATTTCTTGCATCCTTCTTGATCCTTACAGAATGATTTTCCAAATAAATCTATGGCTGTAGGTGAATGCCGTAGCAGACTGGATTCTACGCCAAGTTTTTACTCTCTGTTCTATCCATACCACGTACCATCCATGCCCTGTACCATCCATACCCTTAACCCGTGAGCATCTCACTCACATCCTCCTTACCTGTATCCTACTTTCCCTCACCTTTGACCCCTCACAACCAATACCTTTTGACCTGATATTCTTATCCTCTATACATGTATCTTACCTCACCCCTACATTCCACATTAACCCACACTTGTAATCCCCCTCACACTGGGCACCCTGTGCACTCCCTTTGCCTTTTGCTTCTATCTCTTGCCTGCAGATGGATCAGCTAGATAGCTGGATCAGAGAACAGTCCAAGATGGTGCCTGCCTCCCAGCAGGACATCCAACAGCTTAAGGCTGAATTGGCCAATATTCAGGCCAACCTAACCACTGATACAGGGACCATGGCCGAAGACCTTCCTGTAGGGAGTGCCGTGTCAGCTGCCCGGGTTAGTTGACAGGGAGAAAGGTCAAGATCACTCAGCTGTATTGGTTGCTGACACTGAAATCATCCTACCTGTAGATCCCGTACATTCAACCATTCGGTGTTAGAGGATTTTGTAGGACTTAGAAGAAGAAGAACCAAAGGAAGTAGAGTACACATACGTAAAGAATATCTGATTGGGCTTCTTCACTGTGGTGGGTTTGGAGGACTGGGAAAGGTTCTTGGCTAAAATACATGGGAGGGTTAATGCATATGGCCACATTGATAGGACAGACCTTGCATGCTCGTATTGCTGTTCCCAAATAACCATGGACATGCTTCATTTAATTTAATTTAATGCACTGTTTGAATACCAAACTTGCTCAATGTCATTTAACTAAATATGAAGGTCAGAGACAATAGGTCTTGTATTGCATTGTCAATTTATCAATTCTAAAATCCTAATGAAAGGAGATACTATCATAACCTAAATAAATAAACATCCTGTCATTAATCCCAAATATATTCTGAACAATTTTTATTGTAAGCATGCTTTAGTTTGAAACAGGTCTTCATTCTTAAACTTTCAATTCTCTGTGCTAACAAAATTTCACTGCACCATTCACAAGCAACTGTGCAATGTTCACCCTTTCTTTTACTTCACATGCTTATCACGGCTTCAACTTTCTACACACCACCATTCCCACCTGTACCTCCTCACCAGCTTGACAGCATGCACTCACAGTTCCAAGACCAGCTGGAGGGTCACACGCGGGGCCTGACCCAAGAGCTGGCCAAGCAGCTAAGCAAAGTCAGCTCCAGACTAGGCCACCTGGAATGGAGACTAGACAGCCAGGGCAAACAGCTGGAAGCCCAGGCATCCATGCGGATGGTAGTCTCTGGCGACAGTCTGCATGTTGAGAAGACAGAGGGGTTGGGAGGGGGTTCATTGGATTTGGTAGGCTTTGATGTTGGGTGTCCCGTTGATTTTGTTTGTCAGTAACAGTGGAAGTCACATTTTTGTTGGTATTGCATGATTCAAGTTACTGTAGCGTTAAGTGCATGTCATCAGTCAAGATGTTTTACAAGGAAGTTCACAGGGTATTTCACCATCAAGAGGCATTTCTCAACTTCCATCTTAAATTGTCGTCCAGTTCATCATCCAGCCATCATTGGTTATGTGTGGTGTTATAGGTATACACAATGAATCAGGAGCCTTGTATTATTTGAACAGTTATTAAACATTCTCAAAATAAGCCAACTTGAAGAACATGTACCCAAAACAAGTGAAACCAAACTTGTATATCTAAATGCAAATATCAACTTTTCCAATGACGATCATGATCTGGGGATAAGGCAGGATTCACATATGAAAATGTTAGCTTTTATTGTGGATAGCTTGAACATATCACTTGAACTATTGCGACTTCAAAAGATGACTGGATCTCTAAACATGCTGAACATGGAAACCAGCTGAGGAAAATGAATGTTATAACAACATCTTGTATCACGTTATGTATAAATTTTACACAAGATAGTGTTGAATGTTGGTGTGGAACACTGGTGTAAATGTTGCAGGAATCTTTCCCAGCAACATTTTGTAAATGCATGTGTGAACTTTGTAACAAGGTGATGGTGAGGTCCTGAAGTTTGTCACCAGTTGAGAACTACATGTACAAGTTTAGAATGGCACTGTCGTTGATGTGTCTAGTATACTAAGGTTACTGTTCCTGTCATTTCTTTCCTGCCAGGATGGTGAAATCATGACCAACATGCAGAAGTTGATTCTTCAGCTACAGGCCGAAACGGATAAACTCAACCACACATGCGTGCAACTTGTGGATGAGCACAACAGCAAACAAAAGCATATCGATGTGAGTCCATTAAGAACATTGAGAAAGAGAGTAAAAGAATCAATGCCACAGTTATATTTTTCATCGAAGGCAGAACAACACTGCTTTGCCCCTGACAGATATTTATATGTTTTCATTATTCTGCAATTGTGATTGATAATTTTTAATGGAAGCCTATTCGTAAAAACAATGAAATTAAAGAAAGGACTCACCATCCATGTTCACAGTCAGGTTTCTTATTGCAACAGGTGTCTGAGGAAAAGAATGGATTAAGGCTTTGAATCAATTTTGTAATGATCATGAAAAAATAAAATAATCTTTAACTAAAGAAAGCTTATTTTATTTATTTTTCTCTTTTTAGGCACTGTACACATTTGTTGACAGATTGCAAGAGAACAAGGCTGATAAAGAGCATGTCATCATGGAGATAGATGTTGTAAGTTTGACCTGCCAATTTAAAGCTTGACAGTCTTTTGATTCAGATGATCCACTAAAAGGAGGCATTTTTTCTCAGTCCCCTAAAAGTAATATCCCTCCCGCAGATTTGTAGATGTATGATGCTGCGCTTTTGGTAAAAACAGTGGGATTTCCTAGTTTCAGCATCAGGTGTGGTAATCTTGCCAATAATCTGTTATGGACAACCTGTGGCCTTGATCTGTTATTATGAAAAATAGCAAATCCTTGTGTAAAATTTGTGTTAAATATTCCATTTTGTCATACTTTTAATTTAAATATGGCAGGAGCATTCATGTTTTCCCATAGCAGACAACATCTACATTATTTCTCTTTATGAAGCTGGTATCAGCTGTTTCTACTGTACTTCATGAAAAAACACCAGAGGCTGTTTTCATAAAGTACTTGGAATTGATGTGTGGTTGCCTATATTCATTGCTGACAAGACTTACAGAATGGTACTACAGAATTAAAGATGATTTGATTGCACTCCAAAATATACTGTATTAGCGCATTGTCAGTCCAAAGATCACACATGAGGCAATTTTACAGAAGTGAGTTTGTCAGCCTGCTTCCTAGTAGTATTGTTGCCACAAATTCATATTATACCAGCACTTAATTGCTAATGGGCATATTTGAGATTGGTTAAAATGGAATCTCTGTTTCCCATTAATTTCATAGAAAGCGGACAAGCGAGCATTAGAGAACAAAGTCAGCAATACCCACTTCCAGGGAACAGTGGATGAACTATCGCGCAACCTGAACGATGTAATGGACAAACTGTCAGGACACGTAGGTGGAGTTGTTAATGATTCATTAAGAGTTAACTAAATATTTAATGATATCATGTGTGAGCTGCTCTGAAAAAAAAAAAGAATCTGACTTGGTGTCATTGTAGAATGAAAAGGCACAAATGAACTTTCATGCAGTGTATCTCTACAGGATATTGGTCGTACTGTGCTATCCTGTCCATTTTCATTAAGCTGGGCAGCTCTTACTGAAGAAAACTTTAAAAGATGCATTCACAGCTGCAACCGAAAGAATCTCCCAAAATCTCTCCAGCCTTGAAAGAATATTAAAATATCTGTCTAAAAATTAATGCCTAAGTGTTAAATAGCCAAATCCAGCCAAGTCCATTTGCAAATATTTGTACATTTCCCACATACCTGAATCCATCTGTGTGTCCAAACAATCATATTTTTACTCATTCAAACTAGTCAGTCAGTTTCCCAAAATAGTTTGTTTCATGATTTGTGTAAAAAGACACATCTGCCTCGAGTGATCCCTTTTCACCATTTCCCAGGTTACGTCATGTAATTGGGGTTTGATCCCTAGTTACATGGTGATTCAGTTTAAATGGCCTCTGATTAGTGCCCCCGAATGAAGATATTGACAAATGGAAAGAGCCACCAACGTAGGGCTGGATAGCTCAGTTGGTAGAGCACTGGTACGGTATTCCAGAGGTCGCAGGTTCAAATCCCACTCCAGTCAATTTCTTTGTTCATCTTTATAAATGCATTCAAACTACGCAGTCAGAATCCTTCTTACGTACATGTAAGTTTGATTACCACCTTACAGAGTGGTGCACCCAGAGACTTTAAGCATCAAAGGACTCCATTACGTTAGTTTTTAGCAACTCACTGACCAAATTTTACCTGGCCCCTGATGCTGCATATATGTCTTATTCTTGGTAAACTAGAAAATCTTGGAGTGAAAACAAAGCGATGATTTCACTCTAGACAATTTTCATTTGAACATCAACGATTCAAGTCCTAAGTGTGAATCTTGGTCTTATTAAATGCAGCGCTCTGCATGGGAGGAGGCTGTCAGTGAGATGAAGCTGGACATTGATAACAAACTGGACCGGATGGAACTGGATCCACTCAAGACCTACCTTGATAACCGCATCAAGTCCGTCGGTGCCAAGATTGTGCGCAAGGTGGAACCTGACCCAACACAAGATGATGCAGCCGGCTTCCGAAAGTGAGCATCTACAATGATTGGATAATACATTCACATTGATGATGGTTTGGTTGCACTGCCAGTGAGATAACATTAGAGTTTGCCCACTTTGTGCGGGACCTGTACATGTAGATGACCGTGTGGCTAACCCAAAAAAGCCATGAAAGGTTTTGAAATGTGTGCACATTGATTCATTCTTATGAATAACGGGAGGAGCGCAAGTAATTTGAATCTGACTGACCATAACCCTGTAGCATCTTTGTAAGAGAGGAACATTCCTGATTGTAGACAGAGCTGAAGTGCCTGTCAGCATTAGGTGCAGAGTTCATATGACAACACTGACCGCAGCCCTCAACCACTTTTAAAGCACTAGTCTTTCAGTGACAATATTTTGTTTACTGTTTTGACAGAAAACTGCTACAAAAGTTCAACTGTATTTCCTGTGACAGACCCCTAGATATGACACCACAGCCGTAAGTACACTGTATAACCTTATATTAAATGTCAATAGAAGAACAAGCAACACCCTAAAGCCCCTGTAATTGTAGTGGTTGTCCATCCTTAAAAATTCTACCTTCACTCTTATCTGATTGGTTTATTTTTTCTTATAAACTCCCACACGGAACACAGTTCCTATTTATGCTTGTGTATTTTGAAACTAAAGTTGACTGCACCATCAGCCTTCAAGACAAAAACTAGGTAAGGCGATGTCTGTCTTAGTGTCAGCATCATCCATTTGATCCAAGGCCATCCCTCAAGAGAGCATCTTGCCTCGGAAATTATTCACCCCTCAGATGTTATTATTACAAAGAGATAGCTATAAATGTGTTGAAGCATTACGTAGAGAAGTAAAAAACATGTATTTGGTTTTTTGTTCACCAAATGATTTGAAATTCCTTCTACAGGTATGAATGGAAAGATTCATGCTTGTTCTTGTTTTCCCAATCAATGTTCAGGCCTCTTGCATCATTACCTGAATCTAAGGGTCTTCCAGGCACAAGGACAGGCCGACCCTACACCACATTTGAATTAGAACAAATCAGAGCAGCTCAAAAAAAGTGAGTAGACTTTGTTCTGTGGTATTTCAAAGATTGTGCTTTCGGCTGTGGATTTTTATTTTAGGATTGACTGGAAAATAGTTTTAGGTTCATAGGTTTTAGTAGGGTAGCAGAAGTACTGTGGAACACTGCATGAAGCTAGAACAGCACCTGATGAACATGTTAAAATTAGTACATGTAACTAGATTGAGAGTAATATTTGATTCCCTTTAAGACTTGAAATACATGTTGTGTCATTTATTAGCTCTAGGTACTTTGGACAGGGGCATAGTTTTTAGGGTAGAAGAATACTGCAACACAATATTACAACACCTTGTACATGAAGCTAGAACAGCACATTTCCATTATACACTACAGCTAGCTATTGAAGGTTAGAGTTTTAATTGATTGCCTCAAATAGTTGCATAGTTGCTGTTTGTGTTATATATATCGTGATCTGCAAGCTATTAACCCTTCCATCTCACCAACTATTCCTGCTGTCATCTTCACCCGTCTGTGGTCAATCACCAGAGCCAGACCAGGCAAGAATGTGCTGCACTATGAGAACGCTCTACAGGAGCAGGAGTTAGCTAGGCAGCGTAAGCAGGACATACTGGCCTACCTGGTCCACTTCCACAGGGACCTGGACCGTTCGGCGTTCTTTAGGAACGTTGCCCCGCTGCACCTGCAACCAGACAAGCAAAGGTTATTGTAGTTGCATTATACCCAGAGGGTGAAATTGTGGTCTGACATTGGCCATTTATCCGACCACTGTTGCTACTCGTCTGATCAAAAGCAGGTGTGGTATGACAAAATTCCCAAAGGAAATGTCAACATTAATGTCCCAAAGGCCAAATCCTTTTGGTTTTACCTTCAGTGCTTGTGCTTATGACATTTAAATTCAAAGACTGTTTTCTTATGTGACCTGGGTGTGTCTAATCAAAAGCTGATAATGACAGAAAGAAACTGACTAGCTAGTACCTTACTCCGACCACAGTTTGGGCCTAATTTTGCACTCTACCACATCAGCTAGGAAAAAGTTGTAGGCTAGTATCGGCATTACCCTAGGATGCAGTCGTAATAGGCCAAGGTGTGCTTGTAACACAATTTTGTGGATGGTCAAAGGATCAAATTTGCAGAAAACAAAGTTGTTCAACCATCTACGTTTTCTTCCTCTCTCAAAATGCTGCTCATTATTGTAAAAAAGGATGATGAACCCCACCACCCCTGAGGTGGAATACCTCCAAATTGAGAGCACACCCCTCCCTAGCCTCCCTGGGCCCCAGGGAGAGCTCATGAGACTCAGACATACACGTCTCATGACCGACTTCCTTAATAAACAAAAACCCTCAACTCCAAGGTAAATCCCTTGATTTCTTTTCTCCCAAACACTTTGTGAGAGTGCCCCACGGAGTGACTTTCATCAATCAGTGAATGAACTCATGCACTGAAACTAATGGTGTGTATCTTTTGTGCTCACCTGCACAGCCTCAAGACATTACAAATGCTTCCTAAAATTGCACCTCAAACCTTACACAAGGGAGGATTTTGGAAGTACTCTTCACTGGTGTTTTTCACATCACATTTCTGAATATTCCAATATTCACCAGCACACCTGCACCTTTCATCTTTCAAGACTTCATTGCCATTTCTGAAGTGTCAGAAATTAAGATCAGAATAGTACAAGAAAATAAAACAAAAAAGAAAACAATCCAGTACAATCTCACTAACCCTGACAGTTTACCTCTTTTTAAGCTGTAAAGTTGTCTGTTAGCTGTCAGAAATATAGGTACTGACATCTCATTTCAAGCATCTTGGGCATCTTCTAAATCTGATTTTCATATACTGTAAAAGATAGCTCATGTGCTTTTGATTATACATGCACAGTTTTATTTATTTCTACCTATAAGGTTTTGGGGGCACCTCGGCCACGTCTTTTACTTCCCTTCTTTTCCTGTCGACATCACAAACTCCACAGCATTTCCCATGTGGAATGGGGCCAGTGAGATTTCTAATAACTGACTTGCGCCATCCAGTTGTTTTATCTTTGTCCATTGCACTCTGTAACCCCTAAAACAAGCATCACCAAGCTTGTTAACTCATCAGCATGATGTACTAACTTCCTCTTGTGATACCACTGAGATTGGTACACATCTCTAACGTGAACCCATATTTCCTTTGTTTTCAGTGGCAATGTGGAAGTTCCAGACTACTTCTTGACCAACAGGAGCTGTGGAGGAAGTCACACCATGACCTATCCACACAGACGCACCACGCGCATGGCAAACCTCACGTAAGTTGGTAGTCAGGGTGCCAGTCCCAGTCCAGATGGTGTGGGTTGTATTAATTTACATGTAGTTCAGTTTTACTGGTGATGTAATTAAGGGCCCCTCAGAAGTACACAGGTCCTGTAGCTCAGAAAGTTGAAGAAACCTACAGAGAGAAAAATAACGAACATATCTTTAGTTTCAGAGATGGCATATAAAGTGCAGATCAGTCATTTATCAGAACAACATATGAAAAGAATACTTACGTTTTGTTTAAATGATTCGATTGTTTCCTTTGAATCTTTGAGGGGAAGCATTCATTCCGTTTGTCTTTTCCTTATCATCAGGGGTATTGTACGAGAGGAAGATGATAACTTAAATAATTTCATAAATGGGAGGTGAGTCAAGATGTTCCTTTCACATCTCTGTCATTTCTGGGCAAGTTCGAGCGACAGCTATGAGGTGCAACCAATTTGGTCCCAAAGAATGGATGGTTTGGACCATCTGTAGTTGAGCATGGAACCCGGCCCGGGGGCATGCTTGCATCACTGGTTTTCAGTTGCCAAAAATGTTTCCGTACATGGAGAACCATTCACATGAAAATAAATGTACAATGCTGTGAGAGTTGCAGCCAACAGCAGGAAGCGAGTGACTTTGAGACTTTACAATATGGTTCCACAGGGGCGGTCCAAACATGGCTGTAAAACAATTGGCTGGTGGTCAAACTTCATAGTTCGCGCCCAACTTGCCCTTTATTTGCCTTGTTGCAAATCTGCTCTGAATGACTCATTCATTTACTATGACTACAGTTGAACAGACTACTGTGTCAAAGAGAAGTGTAGCAATATTTCCGTTCAGTTTTCTAACGGCACATACCCAAAACGAATTGCATCCAAGGTCATCCAGGAACAGCAGTGCATGCATACGAGGTCTGCCCTATTAACACGGCCATACATTGAATCAAACACTTACTTTGTTCTCAAATGACCTTGCCTTGTTGAAATACTGAACTGGCTTGTGATAAAGCTACATGAGAACCACTGATATTTGCAATGACTGCCTTGTATTAACCACTTGCCAGAGTTTCTGGTACCGAACACGTATTCTTTATACACATGGCCGGGGTTTCCGAAATCAGACAAAAGGAACTAGACCTTATAGCAAAAGAGAGTACTCGTAATAAAAGACAAGGCTGCTGGGCATTACCAACATTTTTTCACTCTCAATAGTGGAGATAGTCCAGCCTTGTTTTGAAAAGGTTTTGAGGATTTAGCGCGAGCATATTACCACCGGGACAAAAGCACTCCACCACCGCAGTGATGAGCCACACAGTACCACTGCACGGCAATCTGGCCCCGGTTGAAAAGAGGTCAGCAGCAGCTCATGAATAAAATTTAACTGTCGTTTATAGCCGCATCAAGTTATTTTTAGGCACTACTCTAAGCTGACAGGCGACCTTCATTGACGCCCGAGTATTTCAGCCAGGCCAGCAGCCTTGTAAACAGAGCCCAGATTGTGTGGTGTTGCATAACTGTCTTTTGTCAC